TGCCTTGTTTTCAGTCCTGACCTCCAGCAGTAGCAGAGTTGACTTACCTGATGTCAGGAGCGTCCATCGCCTCTTGACCTGGTCATAATCAGCAGCCAGTTCACACCAGTAAGACCCAGAGTCTTCAGCTGTGACTCTGGACAGATGAAGTGTGACTCGTCCGTCTCTCAGAGCGTCTTTGTCCAAATGAACCCGACCTGCAAACTGCTGATGCTGAGACTCTGGAACCTCAACGCCGTTTCTCATGTCAAATAAACACTTAAGACCCTCAGACAGGAAACAGACGAGGTTGATGAGAGACAGGTCAGTTTTATTCTCAGTGTCCCATCTGATGCTGATACTATTGTTCTCCTCAGTCTGGTAGAAGGTTTGAGTCATTTTCAGAACAACTGTCCCTGTGGAGGAGAGAGAATGAAATACAGAGTTTAATAAAGACATGGAGAGCTGTCAGATTAACTGATGATGAAAACAAGTCGTGGCCCTACTAACCCCAGACAGAGGAGGTCAGGATGAAGAGCAGAAGGATCCACATCATCTTCTCTCTGTGAGAAAACAGTTTCATTAGAGGAAGAATCCAGATGTTGTTCCAGCAGAACAGACTGGGAGGTCACCTGTGGCCTGAATGAGGTTTCTACGATATAAACACTTATCAGTTTTATGAGACTGTCCTGTAAATATAACTATATACATCATTTGTGCCACCAGGTTATTACAGTGAAATGTTACATGTCAGCCCATCTGTACAGTCCTGAGAGTCTAAAGGAGAATATTTCTGCTTTCTGTTTGTGTGAAGTCAAACCCAAACTGTGAGGACACTGATTTATACAGGATGTTATAATGTAATATTAAATATGTTTATAAAGTAATAATACTTGATATAAAAACTGAGTAATTGTCAACATATTACCAACATTTTCATTTCACTTGTGCTCTCCTGCAGCCAGCTAGTGGATGATCTCGAGCTGAGAAGTGGGGTTGTCTTATAAAGACATGTCCCCCAGTTGTTTGTCCTGGGCTTTAGTTCAATAGACAAAGAAATTGCCTTTAGTTGCATCTCTGTCTTGCTTTTGCCGGTTCAAAGCCTGTTACTCCAAGTCTGAAGAACCTCCACAAACCACCATATGACGATGCACAGACAAGGAGGCTACATTTACCTCAACCAAAGCAACATGACAACTTTATGTCCAACTCATCTTTCAACATCTGGAGGCTCCTGTCTCTCTGTCACTTTGTCCCTGTGTCTCCTCCTGCTTCTCCTTTGTTCTCCTGTGTCTTGTCTGATTTCTGTCTTCTCTCCTTTCAGACAGGAGCATAAACACACAGGGGACAAAGAAGCTGCACACTGACACTCCACTGTTATTATTTATTGAGCAAGTCCCTTAAACCCAACCACTCCAGTGAAGCTGCTCAGCAGCCACAGGTCAGTCTGTCTCCTTGACCGTAAACTCCACCTCAGGACGTGTCCCGACTGGACGTGTCGGATCACTTGAACCCGACAAGGTGAACGACCAATCCTGACATTGAAGTTGATGAAGAAGCATGATACAGGGTAATATGACATGTGTAGGGCACAAGAAACTGTGAAACATCTTGAGCTGTCCCAGGTTCAGGCGGGAGAGGGACTGATTTAAAAATACAGTTTTAAGCGATGGAATGAACTTGAGTTTAACAGAGGTGTTGATAAAAGCTCAGGGGATATAGGATACA